AACATGATTGCTCTGATTCGCAGTTGCTATTTTTTTGCATGGAACCTTATCAGAAGTAATATCAAAAACAAAGTTTGAAGGTTCCGTAGATGTAAAGCGTTTAGCTGCAGTTCGTATTTGTAATTCTGTCGTCAACAGGCAAATATTTAAATGGTGTGCGGCATTTCTGAGATATGTACTAAATTTCCAAAATGTGCAGAGATTGTTTTGAGCATCAATAAAATGCAGTATAGGTATACCTTCAATAGTGCCGATTTCTAATGATGAATTTTCAAAATACCATCGGTTTTTGTCATCCACATATTTTGACATTACAAGAACTTTTGATTCTTCAACAGAATAATTTATGTTGCTATCTAGTTGGATGATCATTTTTTTACCTATTTGTGCTCTCATAAATTCGTACTTAATCGAATTTACATATCGATGTTTCCAATTGAGGTGTACATTTCTTTTAAGTTCCTTTTTTGGTGGAGTGGGATATATATATGTCGTAAACATTTTTTTCGGATACATCAAAACAAATTAAATTAATATTGTTACTTTGATACAAGGCAATTCTATAATTTCATAATACTAAAATAACTTTTAAGGATTTTAACATAATTTGTGTATTCTAAAACTTCTAAGAAATTGTGAACATCCTATTTACGATAAAAAAAAGCCGAAGGCAGAAGAAAACTCATACTTTTACCACGATTATATCAAATATGATCATTACCAGTAAAGTTCAACTTACATACAATTATACGTGAATATTTAACTACGTACATATATTATATTTTTGTGCTTATATTTACATTCCTTATCATTACCTTGTGGTTATTGCGTTGACAAAATTCGTACTACATATATATGTACAAACATGAAAGTAGATTCTTTAGTCTTTATAAATAGTGCGTATTTTAGATTAAAGAGTCTTACAGAGACTGAACGAAGCTTTTTTTATTCAACACATACTAGTTTCAACCACTTGTAACTCAGAGTATGGTTTAAAAAAAAAANTAATAAAGTCCTCAAGTAATCAAGAATTTTATATTTGGGTAAAGTATACATGGACCAGAAAGAGATTTGAAATGTAAAAGTTCAATCAAGTTAAACAAATAATGGTACTTCAGAGACACATAGTGAGTAAGGGGAAGCGAATAGACAGAGGGAGACCTATGATCAGTGACTTGAAAAACCCTAAAAACGAGGTATGACTTGGGTACTGAATAACATATATTTTTTAACGTTTTAGATGGTAAAATATTCTACGAGTAAGTACATTTTTACATAGTCTTTTACATAGAATGTATATTTGTGGTATCATATCATTTTTACATATTATAATCACTTTAATTTTCGCTTGTCGTTTACATTGTCTTTTATACACTTATTCACTTTCATCTTACATCTTATCTATCTTATCTCCCCGGTCACGCATGATCGGATATCGAGAGAACTCATCACAATTATTTTTAATTATTCTTTTCGTACGCATTTATTTATCTTTTTTCATTTAAGGCAACCCTCAATCCTAAGTCGGTGTCGTAAATTGGATTCCGGAAAAGACTATCAGAAAAAATCTGAGTGCCCCCAACCGGGAATCGAACCCACAACCCCTTGAGCTGTGTTGTTTCAGTGACTAGCACGCTAACTAACCGAGCCAACGACGAGCTCTATGATATATATATATATATATATATATATATATCATTATATTGTGTATTATTGTGTAATATTTCATTCTGGTAAAGAGTTTGGTATTTAAATAGTGCCATGTGATTATAAACCAGTACAGCCATGATCTAGACTATTGGATAGAGATAAATAAAAAGTTATTGTTGTACAGTAACATTTGTGGTAAGATTAGAACTCATTTCCTATCCGAAAATCGACCTTAAAAAAATCTAACTCTATCTCATCTAGATATGCATAATCTATACTCTTAGAAGAGTATTATAGATAAAATTAACGTTGGATTAACGGTCATATTACACCCTTTATTAAATTTATAAAAATTGCCGCAACTTAAAATTTTGATATAAATTATTATTTATAACCAGTTGGCAAAGTTGTGTCTGTTTTTTTTGAGTGGAAGGGGGGGGGGTCATTTTTGGAGGTCAATTTTCGGGCAGGAGGTAAATTCAAATATTGCCGAAAGAGGCCCTTTGCTGTAAGAACTATTTGTTTTGTTTTCTATACATTGTTTTGGTTTATAGAATAAATTGTCTACGTGACACTGCTTAAATACCCACACAACTTTTCACTAGAATGAAATATGACATAAATATATCAGATTTCTACGAGATCTGAGGTTTTTTAATTCTGGTAAGCGTTGCGGCTGGTTTTAATTTTAGACTACGTATGTAAATGCGAAAGTGTAAAGAAAAATCTATAGACTACGAGCTGAGGTCCGATGAGGGTGGTCAAAAAATTCATTGGAACTATTCATATAGACGTGGCAAGCGAGTATCACGTGACAAACTATAAAGTGAACGTTCATATTGAAATTGAAAAAATGTCAACGTGGCTCATGTATACCTATATATGGTGTTCAACTTCCATCCCGCACTCTCACGATACTTTTTCAATGTGAACGTTCATAATGACAACTTTAATTGAGTAGTCGCGTGGCACTCGTTTATCACGTCTAATTAGCTTCAATACAATAGTTAAGTAGCCCAAAATCATGCAGCCAAAATGTGCAAAAGTGGTGGTGCAGAAACTATGATATGTACTATATATCACGACCAAATAAAAAGTAAATCCACTTTATTTAATCACGAAAAACTCGCGTCTATTATTGTTATTTACAACGAATGTTTTAATTTTGTAATATTCATGAAAAAGATCGCGATTGAACCACCAAAAGCGGCGCTGTCGGCGGTACTTAACTAAGGTAAAATGGGGTATAGTGGGACACCTTTTTAAGCAAAAAATATTTATTTCTTATTTTTGAAGTTCCACCAATGCTAACTCACCTAATTTTTTTTTAAAATTAAAAATATCGGTCTTTACTTAAGGAAACAATATTTATTGACGATGCTTATCATTATCCGTTTAATTAAATAATTTTTCAAATAAGTCGTGAAATCTGCAGTAATGGGACATAGTCTTGGAGGATTACGGCAGTAGTTGGACACTGTATGTGGTAGTAGTGGGACAGTATATGACAATGTTATTTGCATATGTAAGAACACAATTTTTTATTTATAAGAGGTTAATTATCACTCTTGAAAGTACATAAATATTAAAAATAATAGATTAATAGGGATTTCTCT